CGTAACGAATTCGCTTCAGATTGTTATTCAACGGAACACAGCGTCTTCAAAGATCTCCCGGGGAGGCTGCGTGCTTACGTGTTATTGCGATCGTACGTTGGATTTCTGCGTTTGAACGTCTCTCGCGCCGTCCGGTAAGGATGAGGGGGAGGGGGGGGGGGCGTCGCGACGTTATTTAGACGATGATGCGGGGATGACGAAGGCGTTTTGAGGGGAGTTTATTCGTACGGTCTCTGCGCGGTGTCCGTTCGTTTTCGTGCGTTCGTTTTCGTGCGTTCTCTGCGCGGTGTCCGTTCGTTTTCGTGCGTTCTCTGCGCAGGGGGAGGCGAGTGGGAGTGGCCCAAAGGGATTTAGGGATCTGTTGGATTTAGGGATCGTGTCCCCCCGTTCTCTCTCTCTCTCGCTCTCTCGCTCTCTCTCGTTCTCGTTCTTGCTCCTGTGCAAGGACTTTTTTTATTTTTTTCTTTCTCTGTTTTTCTTTTTTTTCTTTCTTGTGTCTTTCTTCTCTCTGTCTCTGCTGTTTCTCTCTTTCTCTGTCTGTTTCTTCTCTGTCTGTCTTCTCTCTCTCTCTTTCTCTCTGTCTCTTCTCTCTCTCTCTCTCTCTCTCTCTCTCTCTCTCTCTTCTCTCTCTCTCTCTCTCTCTCTCTCTCTCTCTCCTCTCTCTCTCTCTCTCTCTCTCTCCTCTCCTCTCCTCTCCTCTCCTCTCCTCTCTCTCCTCTCCCCTCTCCCCCTCTCCCCCTCTCCCCTCTCCCCCTCCCTCCCTCTCTCCCTCCTCCTCCCTATCTCTACCTCCCCCTCTCTCTATCCATTCATCCGCACTGTTTTTCCCTCTTTCTCTCCACCCTTCCCTTTTTCCCCTCTCTCTCCCTCTCCTCTGGAAACCTCTCGATGAAGTGATTGTCAGCCCGAGAGGTCGTGTGTCTAAAAGGTCAGGCGAGTATATTGTGTTAGTATTACAATGTTATTCTCTCTCTTTTCCCTCTCTCTCTTCTCTCTTCTTTCCCCTCTCTCTCTCTCTCTCTCTCTCTCTCTCTCTCTCTCTCTCTCTCTCTCTCTCTCTCTCTCTCTCTCTCTCTCTCTCTCTCTCTCTCTCTCTCTCTCTCTCTCTCTCTCTCAACTCTTTCCTCACCCCCTCCCTTCTCCTCCCTCCTCCCTTCCTCCTCCTCCCTCTCCCTCCTCTCCTCCCTTTCCTCCTCCTTCTCCTCCTCCTTCCTCCTCCTCCCTTTCCTCATCCTTCCTCCTTCCTCCTCCTTCTCTTCCTCCTTCCTCCTCCGAACATATTGCACGGCCCTGATCGACGTCTCATGATCCACCAGGAATAGATTTAAGCAGGAAGTAAGATCGCATTCAGGGCCTTCGAATTTAAGCTTCCAGTTTATGCTTCGGTTATTGGGGTTTAAAGTCAACCTTGGCCCTTCCTCTTCGGCTGTGTCCGCTGTTCGTTATCGCGTGTTGTCTGCAGTTCCTGTTTGTTTTGCTGGTGCGTTTATTTCTGCGGTGTTTGTGTGTGCGTCGGGTTTGGTCCTCGTGGGGGGGGGGGGGGGCGGGCTGTGGGTGTTGTGTGTAAAGGGGAAGGATGGATGAAGGATCTGCGGTGGGATTTCTTTCGGGAAAAAGGGGGTTGTTATGCTGTCTGTTTTTGAATTCGTTTTGTTTCGGTGTTATTGTTATTATTTTTTTATTTTTTTTTTTTTTTTTTTTTTTTTTTTCGTTTTATTTTGGGTTTAGGCTATGAAGCATCGTTATATTTTAGTGTTATTGTTATTTATTTTGTTTTTTGTTATTATTTTTTCTTTTTCTCTTTCATTTTATTTGGGCTGAGGCTATGAAGCATCGTTCTATTTTAGTGTTATTGTTATTTATTTTGTTTTTTGTTATTATTTTTTTCTTTTTCCCTTTCATTTTATTTGGGTTGAGGCTATGAAGCATCATTCTATTTTAGTGTAATTATTTTTTTTTTTTTTTCTTTCTTTCTTTTTCTTTTCTCTTTCATTTTATTTGGGTTGAGGCTGTGAAGCATCATTCTATTTTAGCGTTATTATTATTTATTTTGTTTTTTGTTTATTATTTTTTCTTTTTCTCTTTCATTTTATTTGGGCTGAGGCTATGAAGCATGACGTCACATAAAGTTGTGTGCGTTAGAGAAAGGGAAGCGCCGTTTTATAGGCAATTAGAACGCGTTTGTGTGCGTAAAAGCGTTCATTAGCGGGCCAGGGGTCAAAGGTGAGTCTGACGCTATATTCACGACACCGCCAGAACTTTGAATAGAAGTGAAGACATGACCCGAATCTCCTGCTGCTTGGCTCACGTCAGGAGTCGAGGGAACCATGCCTCAGGGAGACGCTCATGTCGGGAGGAACAAACGTTTATGATGATAGAAAAAAGAGAAGAATATCACGTCAAAGGAGAACATGAAAGGAACAGAATAACATGAGGCTTTCACGTCAATAGTACCCCTCGTCAGAGAGCGCCCGGCGTTGCACCAGAACCTCACGTCGGAAGAGGAGTTCAAGCCGACAGATTTTCACATCAAAAGAAGATTAAAAAGAAAAAGAAAATATAAATGTATATAATATATATATATATATATATATATATATATATATATATATATATATATATATATATATATATATATATATATGTCTTTGGATTCTCATATCACGAAAGAACTCCAAGTAAAAAAAAAAAAGAAAAAAAAAAAATGCTATTTGGATTTTTGGTCTAAAAAATGATCGTGAAAAAATAAAGAAAATGAAAACAATCAAACAAAAAACATAAGACCGTCATGTAAAAAAAAAAAAAATATAAATATACATATGTATGTTTAGAAGAACCTCGTGTCAAGAGGACACCCCCCCCCCCCGCCCCCCCCCCCCGCCCTT